CCCTGCTGAGGTAACCCTTCGCTGCACTGTCTCTCGTTACTAAGATTACTAACTCTATTACAAAACGTCAAAAAACTACGGCGTGGCAGTGTTACCATGCGATCAGCCAATCGCTGCAGTCGACGGCATGATCACGTGATTACCAGGGATACGCCTCTCTGTTACAGCATTGCAAAACGGTAACTAATAAACAATCTATTAATCGAACTCCTGTCATATATGCTTATAATCTTCAAACTGAACTCGCAAGTCCTTAATCTAAACAAAGTCGCTATCATAATACATTACTCCTCTGGCAATTAAGACGGGAAAAGGCTAAAACGATAGAAACTACTAGGTTACATATAATCCTGTCAATCATGAACAAAAGCTTGCGATCATCAAACAATACATATATAGGCGCACCACACTCTAATTTCAAAAAGACATTAAAAAACGTTACAAAGGTGCTCTCAACTCAAATCAACTCAAAAAGTGTCAGAAGTATTCCGAAACAACACGTACAAATCGATTATTCTGAACATCAATACTCTTAAAACGTCGATAAATATGTACATCGAAAACTCTGAAAACTCTGAAAACTCTTTGGGGCATTACTCTCCCCATCATATTCCTTACTCTTAACCGCATTAAAACACCATAAAACTTCACAAAACTTAAAACACTGTGTTGCAAATACTTGTCCACTGAAACGTGCTTAAATCGTTATAAAGGACCTCGCACGTCACTAAATATCAGTTCAAAACAAAGATCTGAGCGCTCACACACATACAATTCAATATCACAAAAAAACGTTCAAAAAAACGACAATAGAAAGCAAGAAATACGTTACATTACTGAGCAAAAGAGCCGGGATTCTGAAAAAGAGTTCACCGTCTTTGAGTTACAATGTTCCTTATGGTTCTCTACACAATACACAAATATCTAAAGTTCTGATCAAAGTCTAAGCGTCTCTTCTCTTTTTGTCGCGTTAGTTCGGGTCGTTCTTTATCATCTTGCTTCTGATGTCATCCGCTACACAAGTCCTATTCGCTACTCGTCCTTTCTAAGGGGTTCCGAAATCTTCATCTCTTCAGCATTGTTCATCAGTGCCATACTGTTAACGGCGTTAGTCGTCAAGCGAGGTTTCGTTTCTGCCATCGAGCTGTTAGTTTGGTTCACAAGATGAGCATGAGCCTAAATGATGACAGATATAACACAGCCATTCACTAGTAATTAGCTAAATAAGTTGGTCACCAGATACAGGAAAACTAATTCATAACAATACCATTATTATTTCATTGTGTTTACTTTATTTTATCATTATTGTGAAATTATTATACCATATCATTTCATTGTTTTATCGTTTTTACATTATTTCTACATTATTGTGTAATTCTTTCGCCATTATTGTTTCATTATTTTATCATTATTGTGAATTTCTTTCACCATTGTTATTTCATTATTCTTTTGTTATTTTATCATTAATAGATAAACAACCCCCTAAGCTAGCACCAAAGTGATTATCACCTTCAGATGAGTTTAAATGCAATATTTATTTTCCTTTGATTATTTCATCAACAAAATAGGAAATAACCCATAAAATGAAAGACACAAATAAAGGAGGCCCAAAGGGTCTACCCTGTCATGGCCGCTGGCTGGAGAGAACGTGTTCATTTGAGCTCTGATACAGACTCTGATAGCCTCAGAGATGCCTGCAATTATTTAAGAAAATCAGTTGCAATTCAAGAAGCACCATATGCATCTCACGGGGATGTCCATCGTGACAGAGATAGGTCGCAGTCGCAAGCTACACAGTTGTTTGCGACGGCGTCACTACGTGATGATGCGCGTACGGCGTCCAGTGTGTCTCTGTCATTAGATCTGGGCAGCACTATCAGAGATGAAATAAGAAGAACTTTTGGAAGATGTCGTTATGGGGAAGTTTCCCGGTCATCTTCAAGCACGAGAAGATGTCGTGCAGTTCGTCATGGTCAGGGCGACAACAACGTGTCTCATCCAACATGGTCACATGTATGGATAGCCCGAGCTTCTACTGATCAGCATTGGTCGCCAGGTCCAGATTATTTACCAAAGCAGGATTGGGGGAAAGTAAATTACACATGCCTATTGGACTGATAGTGCTGAAGTTCTTAATTTTTTGGTTGAAGCATGTCCAAGATTAGAATTTGCTGGTGGATTTAAAATATGCAAAGTGTTACGAGGTTCGAGATCACTCACTGTAATGACTTGCCCTCTAGATGGGTACTCTCAGGAATATATTGCGTTTGTAGCAAGTCAATGACAGACTGTGCCAAGTCACTAGCCATGTTGCATATTGCATTGGGGGATACGGAAGTCTACTTGCTTTGATGATAACAATAATGGTATAACAATTACACAATAACGTTATAATAATGTAAACACAATGAAATAATGAAACAATAATGGTATAATAATTACACAATAACGTAATAATAATGTAAACACACTGAAATATTAAAACAATAATGGTATAATAATTACACAATAACGTAATAATAATGTAAACACAATGAAAAAATGAAACAATAATGGTTAAATAATTTCACAGTAATGATAAAATAAAGTAAACACAATGAGATAATAAAATAATAATGGTATAAAAAATTACACAATAATGATAAAATAATTTAATTATAAAATAATGATTAAATAAAATAATCATGAAGAAATAATTATAAAATATTTAATGTTGGCACTAATCTCACGCCATACACTAACGTTTACCAACTAAACATTATAAATAAAGGTTATTAATAAGCAGAGCATGCCATCCAACAAACTGTGAAAGGTATTGGCAAGGAAACTAGTCCAGAATGAATAGACACAGAAGGCATAGATAAAATCCAAGCAATAATACCCAACTATAATCCAAACAATCAATGTCAAAAGGCAATATTTACAAATCCGAGAAAACACAGGGGACACACAAACAAAACAAACAACACACTGTCAAATCGGTGAGGGAAATACATGGACCTCAAGGCACAAGCCAAGAGGTGATGTCAGGTGTTTCGAAAAGAGTGAGAACATCTTGCTCCACGTGTGGCACCCGCCATATATCTCTCTGAGCCACAATCGTGAATTTTAGGTCGTCCTCGTGCAAGACAATTGACATCCAGAAACTTTCTAATAGTTATTTCCTCACCTTCTGTGGTATAGCTGAAGAAATGCAGCCTTCAACCTCTGCAGAAAGCATTCGATTATCAAATTGCACACACATATTTCCTGGACGAGAGGGATAAAGAAAATAAATGGCTTTGGCCTGTCTTTGGGTTAATAGGGTTGGTTTTAGCACTTGTGGAGTTGGTTTGGTTGTACAGTTTCGCTTGTAATCAGAGATCACGGGATATCGCAAATATGTCTGTACCTAGATGGCGCACTTACATCAACATACAGATTGATACAAATCATCTTCATGCAAGTGGAAGCCTGCCTATTGTTTAACCGGATCGTTGATTATGACTTGTAGATATTGTGTCACATTTGTGTTTGCCAATAAAGA